AAGTAATTTGAGAAAAAATTATAAGTTCGCTTTGCCTTATAATCAGTTTTTAATCTTAAAAATTCGCAAGTGTAATCAGTAATCAAATTTATTAGTTTCTATTGTCTTGGGGAGCGAAATTCTTTTCCGATTTTATGGCGTGGAAAGACGATATAATAAGGAGAAAGCAGCCTCGAGCGGAGCTGCAAGTAACGAGGGAATAAGAATGGCTAGGCAGTCAGGGGTGGTTCTAGCGATGGTAAGGGGAGGGTGGTTCAGGGTACAAGATTTAGTGGACTTGCTAGTAGCCGCTAACTTCGCAAAATATATCCTTCTGAAAATATTAAAGCAACGTAATAGGAAATACCTATTTTCAATGGTGCAATTGCTCATACAATATTCACATCAGTGAACATTCTTATTAATGTATATGACAATTTGTTTAAACGTGGAGACATGCTTGTATTCTAATTTTTTGCTAATTGTCCAGGCACATTTAATTCATGCTTTCGAAAGGCACTGTTGACTCAGGAGATCATTCCTCCGGTAATAAAAATAAATATTCCACGTATACGTCTTTATGGGTAGGGCGATAAAGTATAAGAAAAGAGATAGAAACTGGATAGAAGGCGGAGGCTGCGTCGCGTCGCCGTTCCCCACGTATTCGTTTCATAATGATATATGTATAAAAGCCGACATATTTCTGAGCAGATCCTGTTTTTTTGCTTTCATAGATTTTGTATATAGTATATGTGCTTGGCTTTGAGGTTTTCAAATTAATTGCTTACGATTCTTAGTTTTTATAATATGTATTTTAACGGTAAAACGAATATAAAATTACGAGAACCGCAGATGTTGAAATAGATCGCTTCTATACAAAAGTGCAAACACAAATCTTGTGGTCGTTTCGGACAGTTGAATTCCCAGATCTGGATAATGGATCCCCGGATGTACTCTTCTCAGGGTTTCTGTTCCGTGAGTTTCAATCTTCCTTTATATCTACCTCTCACGATATCGCTACATTCGTTTATTTCAAGTAATGAACAAATCCGACTGTTTTCGAATGCAGTAACGTATTTTCAAAGTATTTGATACATTAACCTTGCGTTTTATATATTTCTATTTCTATTAAGATTATTGTAATTGTTTTGTTCAATTTTCAAACGTTTGAGATATATATATCTTAAAACTTGCGTACGTAGGAGAGAGACTGACCTGTTTTGACGGTCAGGCAGAGATCAGGATTTTCAGGAGCGTATAATTAATTTCCCATGTCACTCCAAGCCCCTACCCTGTTCTTGGTCGATCTGCCCCACGCAAATCTCCCGAACCACGACGACAATATTGGCCATTTCGTTCGACAGTGCCCGAGCGCCTCAGTAGTTCTCCTCCGTTCCCGAACCCCTTTCCGGAGCCGACCACCCCACGCAGAGAAAGGGGTGACTTTACGAACAAGCAACCAGCGCCGATCTCACCCTCTGTCCTTTTCAATCTAACGATTCCTCCTTTTTCATCCGACACATACCGGCCCGTCAACATCAGCTTTCGTAATTAAACATAACAGATCAACATTCGGCATTAGGTACGTAACCGAGCTTTCTCGTCTTCTCCACGGGCGCGCGTATCTATTATTGGTATACTCGCGCACCGGAGCGTGTACGTCGCCTATATAGGTATCCGAACGATCTCCTGACCCCCGGTTACTCAACTCGAATCGGTTAATTGGATAAATGTCCGATGAACGCCGGGCCATCTCTCCCCAAGTCCTCCTATATTCCGTCGTCTCCACCTCCTTCTCTTACTCCTTCTGCCATTCTCGGGGCTTTCCGTCGGGTTATTCGCCCCGCTCGCCCACCCCCTTTATTCATTTCCGCCTCTGTCCTTATCAGGCTCATTGAGAAAACAATCACTTGTTCCGTAGAGATGAATTTACCGAAGCACGCTGTATTTTCTTTCGTTGAATATTACCGGGAGAAAAGGGGAGAATTGGCAGAATTGGCTTAGCAGTTTTCGAATCGAACGAGTATTAATTACGATTATCCCCGTGGAATTTAGAAGGAATCGAAGATCTGATCAGTTTTATGTTATACTTCGATATGTAATTGAATTCGTATCCGTCAGGACGCTGAATTATTGTTAGATGCGATGGTAACCGTGCGTGCTTAATTAATAGTGATAAACTTCTCGAATTGGCTGAAGAACTCTAATCGCGTATATCTATTTATTTTACGCTCCCCTTGGTGACGGGTTTCACGGAATATTGCATTTCCAGTTTCCGCAAACCATCTTTCTTCATTTGTCTCCTTCCGACGCCGACTTCACCCTTGGTTTCTATAATCCTCTTACAGCATAGTCTCATAGTCTCATTACACAATTTACGTTATTAA